GTCCAGTCAGTGTGTCTGTACTGTATTGACCCCTCTCTCTCAGTGCAGTGTTAATGTACTGTAGTGTCCAGTCAGTGTGTCTGTGCTGTATTAACCCCTCTCTCTGTCAGTAGTATTACTGTACTCACTGCCGATGTGGTCTCTGAGTTGTATGGTCTTTTCCTTGCTTGTATTAAAGTGCGATGCTTCACAGGTGATGTTATTACTGATGTCTTCTGCTGTAATGTCCAGATTGAAGACACTGCCGAGCTGCCCCTTCGGTTTCTCCCTGATTCGATTACTGTTCTTTCTCCAGGACAGGACCGTGCCCTGAGGTCCAATCACACTGCAGTTCAGACTGATGCTTCCTGGCACCACGACTCTGCCAGCACTAGGGCCCTGGAGCTCTGGACTGTGTAGTCTTACTGCAGCACAAGAGAGAGGCTGACTGGCACTCTGGTTACAACATCAGGGGTTAGAAGGAGTTATTTCAGTGCCCATGTCAACCTACAGTGTTAAAGTGGCACTTTTCAAGGTAAAAACAAAAAGCTCACAAAAACATGAGAAATAAAATCAAAACAACATTATATAGAAATAAAGAAATAAAGATAGATAGAAAAAGGAGAAGAGACATCATGGATAAAAAGCCTGACTAAACAGATATGTCTTGAGACCAGAGTTAAAAAGTCCAGAGTTTTCAATTTCTCAGAGTGGTAGTGTAAAAGGTCTTGCTTATATGCATTATTAACATGTTCAAATATTGTAACTAATAACTACAGTATAACTTATATTAGTAGTGTTCTTTTTCCTTTTCAATTATAATATTTCCTTTTCCATTTATTTTCCCAAATATATTTATACGTACTTCCTGCTTGTTTTTATTCTACGTATTCTATATGTACTTCCTTCTTGTTCTCTTGTTTTTATTCTTCTGGCTTTCTTAGAATTCCCGGTGGATCAGGTCTTCTCATGAAGCCACTGACTGTGTTTGTGCCTGGAGCTGAGCTCATGAGGGTGGACAGCAGGTTGTGGGGTCTGCTTTGTGTCTCATGTGTCACGATCAGACTGTTTGAGTGCTCTGCCCCTTGTGTGTCCGTGTCACTGGCTGGGATGAAGCACACAGGTCCAGCACAGCTCTGATTGCTGGACTGGGTTTAAATCCTTTGGGTTTCAGAAACCACCCTGTGCCTGGTGCAAGAGAGAACAGAGAAGGGAAACAGCAGAAGACAAGACTACAGCCAGAGACCCCACTGTAGACTTGGGGAGACTACATCAACCCCTATTCTGCTCTACAGGGAGAAAGGTCATATCTCTTCCTATAGGCAACTGAGCACTAAATATAATTTTAATATTTTCTGTGTATTATTAACTTTCAATAGTCTGTAATTATTCAGGGAAATTTGAGCTTGGGTCTCTGTCCTCTCTTTATAATCTAGAGAAGATAAATCAAATTCTCATTTTAAAAAAGGGAAAAGCGTACTTAAGCGTTCTTTGAATTTCACCACAGTATTTTTTTAAAGCAAGGAGTGAATTCAAGATTTGGAGCTGTACAAGAACAGTACAGTACAAGATCGTACTAAAAGATGTGCTTCAGCACAGCATAACACCCTACTTGGTCATTAGAGATGCTAAGAATTGCAGGGATGTGGTGTGTCATTGTTTATAACAATAACTCACACTGACACACTGTGACAACAACACTAACACACTGGAACTGCAACACTTACGCACACTAACACACAGTAGCTACAACACTGACTCACGCTGACACTGTTACGCCGGGCCCAACAAGGTGTTGAGACGGGCTCGGTGAAAATTAGAGTCAAGGAGCCAAGATATGCGGCAATCAAAATAATTTATTTGCTGACAGCGCTGAAGAGGACAAACAGAGCTGAGACTGAGGAAACAGCTGAGGCAGTAGCTGCGCAGCTGAAGCAGGCAGAGCAGAGGCCTGAGGTGATGAAGAGATGATTAGTGGCAATGACAGAGGAACTGGAAACTGAGGATTAAGAAACACTGAGAAATGCTTCTGAGATCCCAAAACTGAGACAAACTCAAAGCAGGGTTAGTGACTCAATGGTTCCTCAGGGCTTAAATACTGTGTGAGGTTCCCTAATTGGCCTGATAGGCCCGGCCTGATCTCGTAGAGGATGACCCCAGTGAGTCTCCAGCGTGTGTGGAATGCGCATTGGTAATTGGTGGAGCTAACGCGGCAGTGCTGGAGCTCGTTGGGGCGTAAGAGACACACTGTGAGTACAACACTGACACACTGTGACTACAACACCTTTTTCTCTCCAGAGATTTTTAAAAGCCTGTCTTTTCTCCAGTGTGATGTACAGTACCTTCACCTCTCAGGATCAGGCCTGGGGGAATGCTGGAGCAGCTCTGGTTATTGAGGTTATCTGTTCTTGCCCCTGGGAGAGCTCTGATCCTGGAGAGACTGGAGTGAGATTGAAGACACTCACCTGTCACTGTCAGAGTCACTCCTGGTCCTGGGATTGCGATCTCACTGGAGGGACCTGGTCTGTACTTGTCACAGTAATAGACCCCAGAGTCCCCCAGGGTCAGGTTGTCTATTCTGATGGACTTGTCTGTTAGATGGTTCTCTAATATAAAGGCCACGCGGGGGTCACTGGCCCCACCTCCTGTATTGAAGAAGGGCTGTCTGCCTCTGCCTGTGTCTCTGCTCCACCTTGTTGCTCCAGCACTTGTATTACGGACAGTACAGTTGAGAGTGACCGACTGCCCCTCAGTCCTATGGACCAGACTCGGGACCTGAGTGATCACATGTTCCCCCATCACAGCTCCTGGAAAAGAAACCAGCAGCTCTGTCACTGACCAGCCCAGCAGCACTCACACCTGCACAGTCCTGGGCAAAAGTACTGACTTCCACCAGCTCTCAATGACAGATTAATTGCTAGTTAGATCTTATCCAATTTTGTACAGATTACTCACACCTCTCCCCTGATTCTATATATTTCTGGATATTATTTTCACCTGCTGTGTCTTGTCCCTCCTACTCTATATTCTGTACCCTAGCGATTGTAAGAGCAAACACACACAGAGACATCTTAATACGTATGCTGATGACACAGCCCTTGTCAGGGCTCATAGAGAAATACCTAAAATGAGACAAGTTTTCTCACACCACTTTTAAAAAAGGTCAACAGAGACTCTTTTCTCTTCAGAAGCTCAGCTATTTCAAGTTAGATAAAACTATTTTAACACTTTCTACATGGCCTTTATTAAAAGTATCTTAACATACTGTCTCACTGTTGCTATGGCAACAGAGCTCCAGAAATTCAGCTGGCTCTCTGAACTTGGACACAACTGGTGTTACTTTACAAAGGACCAGAGGTAAATACAGAGATGAAGGGCTGTGTGCTTATATTTGGAGGAATATTAATCTCCTTAGGCTGAGCTCGTGTCTCAGTGATGCAGTATCCAGTTCAGAGAAGCAGTTCTCCCAGTTGTGCGTCAGTGTTAAAGAGCAGACTGTGCTGGGAGGGTCTTATATTGTACAGAAACCAGTGGGACATGAACCCAAGAAAGTGCTTCCATAGCACTTCACCAGGCAGTGTGACAACAACCCAAAACATGAGGCCAAGGGAACGAGAGAATCCCTCTGGACATGATATTGTTAGACTGGCCCAGTCAATCTCTGGGTTTAAATGCCCCTGAGCAGCATTTTACAAGTCAAGTTTGATTGCCTTAAAGAGATTGAAGTTTATCTCATGATCACAAATACAGTTTGCTTAACTTTAAAGCACGGATAAGGTCTAACTTTGCTGTCCCAATATGTTGGGAGGACACCATATTTACACTTTAAAAACGATGTGGCTTTTTAGAAAGAGAACCTTTGCTACACAGTTTAACTAAACGTAAGGCGGACTGTAAATTTGTGTGAAATTTTATATTTGTCTCACTTCCTTAATTTTGAGGCCCAAATAACTGTTAATGCTCCTTTACCTAAAACCACCACAATTGTTTAAAAAATAACTACATTTACAGAGAAATGACTAATTGGTTTATTTAAACCTGTATCTTACCTTGAGGGCGAAGCAGCAGAGTCAGGCAGAGAAGGAGCCAGCAGGTTTTAGCTGCGAGAGACATTGCGTCCTTAGGATAGCATGTCTGTTTGCGTGAGACAGGCTCAGAGGGTGATATGAGGAAGTGACAAGGCAACATAGAAAGAAGTATAGACGAAGCAACACTCGACCCATCTGGCCAGTTCAGAATCTGCAGAAGCCCAAGAACAAAGAATGTGTGGTTAATTAAATGTTAACAATAATATAGGTTCAGTGCCTGTTCTTTTACACAAGTACTTTTAAAGTTCTAACAAGTTGTTGTGTCTATGTTTCCATCCATTACCTACCCACTTTATGGGGAGCTGGAGTCTATGCCATGCCAGCAAGCAACAGGCACAAGGCAGGGTACACCCTAGATGGGACAGAGGGCACACATAGATACAGACACACTCACAGCACGGCCAATTTTCCCAGAAGCCAATGAACCTACCAGGACGTCTTTGAACTCTGAGATCACCCAGAAGAAACCCACTCGAACGGTGTAAGAACATTCAAGCTCCACACAGACAGCACCCCAAGACTTGAACCCAGGGCCTCACTGCTGCTAGGCAGCACTGCTTCACTGTTCCACCTACATTTAAAACGCAAGCTACAAAATTAAGTTCTCGATCAAAAAATTGAAATACCCCAACTAACAAGTGTGGTTGGGTGGTATTAAAAGCTGATTAGAAATGTATAAATAAAACCCCTGCATGTGTTCAAACTGTCCTTTAATTGTGTCCTGCACCTTTAAGACTCAATCGAGCCGCTCTCTCGAGTGGGCGGGCCCAGTCCTGTGTTCGTCTGTATATTGTATATGCATTATGTATGTATATACAATACTATAGCATTCAGGTGCAGTTAAACTTTGACACAGAAAAGTGAGAAAATGGCTGATTGTGCTTCTTTGAATTGGAATGTCATCCGTTCAAGAACTAGGTTTGCTCGTGAACGGAATTTGGGATCAAATTAACTTGTAGGGAAAAAATACCTACTATTATTTGGTTATTCGTGAAAGCAGGAAGTGCTGTACTTGAAGGTTTCATACTTGTTTGGAAACTGTTTTCCTGCTGCTGTTTCGGTTAGCAGAGGCGGTGTGCTCGTTTTTAAACTGGAATTAATACTGGCTACTCAGTGAAAGGAGATGTTTCACCAAGGAGGAAAGACTTATTTTATGTATTTGCTTATTGTTTACTAAACATTTTGCAGCTCGTCTCAGTACATATTATCTTTTAATGTCCCCAGCACGGTCCTGTCTATTTCCAGAGCCTTTATATGAAATAATTGTATCCGACTCACTTCACATGTTTTATTTTTCTGTAACTCAAACTTCGGCAATCATTACCAAGGTTGATTGTTACAACATATTGTGTATCTACCAGGTTTTGTTTACGCTGTTTGTAAGAGCAGCGCTGTAAACCCTTGTGTCCCACTTAAAACTGCACTCAGGAGAAGTACAGTGTGTCCTCCCTGAATTAATAGGATAAAGCAGTTAGAAAATGTCTGGATTGTAAGATGTTGTTAATTATTAAAAACACAGAGAAAAGATTAAAAAGATCACATTCCAAACTAAGATGGTTTGGTCAGTAAAAAGGAACTTTCTCACCTGCTCTGTCCTCATGTGCTTTATGTCCCTGCTAGCATTTTCCATTTTATATCCTGGCTACTCCTCTCTCCCTCACTGGTCAATATCCCTGCTACCCTCTGCTCTCTCCTGAAGCGGTTTTAATATTCCTGCTTCAACCCTCCTCTCTATTCTTCTTGGAATTAATCTGTATTTGTTTCCTGACTTGGCTCAGCACTCCAATATCAAGCAAACTCTGATACCAACAAACAACTGGTACACTTGTCTCCCAATCTAGGCATAACTTTCATCGTGCATTTGAATGGCTGGGATTTCCGTTTCTGCTAGTTGGTCAGTTTCTCTTCTTCGCTGTAGTTTCACCTGAGATGTCCCCTTTTGTGCTTTTCTTTTATGCCTGAATAAATGATTGATTATATTGCATTGAATACTGCTGGGGGTGTCACTCAGCCAACTAGAGTAAATCGAAGAAAGACATTTTTTCTTGAGTTTATACATGTTAATCCTTGTACTGTTTATCAAACTGCTAGAATCCAGCCTCAGAGTCTCACAGATGACATTCCTCCCCTAGAGGGCGCTCCACTACTCCTGTCATCATTCCTGTGATTGTTGCTGTGTTCCCCAGGTGTACCCTGTTATGTGTACTGCTATTTAAAGACCAGCTCCTCCAGCCCCCGGGGCTCAACATTAGGGTACAGATGTGGCGAGGCCCCCCTGGCACCAGGAAACCTTACGTCCATCTCCTGAGGGCACAGGCCTCAACCCCGACACCCCCTGTTTCCTGAGCCCGGGGTCTGGAGGACCGTCACCCTTGGACCTCCATGTTTTTTCTGTCTGTGTGCTCCCCCCTCTCAGGGATTTTAACCTTGTCGCGTCCCAGGATGGATTTCTTGCTGATGGACTCCCACACTGAGCCCTAACCTGCCTCTGGACCTGCTCAGATTTGGATGCCGTTCTTTGTCTTCCCCGCTCACTGTCTCACGGACTGTCACTGTTATTCTGTGCACTATTAAACCCCTCTGTGTTCCCTTTTACCACCCCCCTGCTTCCTCCAGCTCTTACCTCATCGCAGAGGGTCTGCTACAAGACCTGACAGAGACCCCAGACCCTGGCCGTAACACAGAGAACAGCTCAGTCTCCTTTGACAGGCGTTAATAATAATAATAA